GTTTTCTCTTTTTTCTTTTTTGACTACCAGATAATTGTTTAGGAGCCATAGCTATTGAATTATTTCTGAAATAAAATCCAAAATCATAAATTCTACTAAGTAAAATCAAGAATAAAAAACTGAAAAAACAAGCAAACAAACAAATAAATAAATAAATAAAATTAATATCAATTCGTCAATTTGTCCTTTTTAAATTGTTAGTTTATATTTCAGTTTAATTTTTTTATAAATCATAAATTCATATCAATTCAACAATTTTTCAGTTTTTAATTTTTTTTTTCAGTTTTCAGTTTTTTTAATATAAATATATAATTATCATAAATAACAAATTCAAAACAATTCATCCAAATCAAATAAATAACATATAGAACCATTCATTCAATCTATCTCAAAGAATGAAATTAGAAAAGATTTCAAATTTAAAACTAATAACTAACCCTAGATTTTAAATTTAAATAATGAAACAATGAAAGAAAATTTAAGATTTAAGAAATAAAAATTACAAAATTGGAAAGGGAAAGCTATGAATAATTACCTGGAGGCGGCGACTCAATCGGCGGTGGCAGTGTGGCACGTCGTCTCTGGTAATATGGTCTTCGTGAATATTGAATACGATCGGGCAGGCAATTTCTTCTAATCCGTAGTTCCGCTCGACCGCTCCCTTCTTTCTTTTGGTCTAAGACTATTGGGCCTTATACATACATACATACATACATACATACATACATACATATATATATATATATATATATATATATATATATATATATATATATTACTAAAAAAAAAAACTTGTGCCCCCAAATTTATTGTGCCCAGCCCGACCGGCCACCTTGTCCCCTATATGGGCCGGCCCTGAGCCTCTCTACTTTTGAGTAGGGGTAAGGTCTGCGTACACACACACTCCCCAGACCCTACTCTTGTGGGATTTAACTGGGTTGTTGTTGTTGTTGTTGTTTACTCTCTCGCACTAGGTTGTTCGTAATCTGCCCTTATGAAAACATTAACTTCTATTATTTGTTTTTCCAAGACATAAGTGAATGGATATTACTTCAGTACCTTGTAAGTACCCAGCAAAAGTTCACTCTTCAACATAGTTTTAAGTGTGAAGTGCTTTCCAAACAAACACAAACTTTAAGATCTTCTCAAGAAGCTGTAGACATTTTTGAAAATTCAATAGATAAAGCGTGGGGTATCGACTTTTTAAAGTGGCTTTGTTCTTAAAATCCTCCACGGAATGCATCCACATGCAAAATGCTTGAAAAGCACTAAAAGACTACCAAAAGATATGAGTGGCCAATAAAATCGACAAGTAGAAAAAAAACTGGTAAAAATAGGGTATCTAAACAATGAAATAAAGCTGAACAAAGTTGGTACTATTAAAAAAATTAAGTGTCAGTTTCAACGTACAAAAAAATTCAATCACATTAAAAAGGAAGAGAAAAAAAACCGGTTGGATTTAGTAAAAAAACACCGAACCCAAAAAAAAGAAAGACAAGGAAACTTAGTTAAAAAGGGTCCGGAACAAAATGCTAGCATAAAAATCAGTTTTAGTATGATAAATGCATTTCCAAATACTATTTTAAGTGTTAGTACATCTTTAGTTACCCAAGCACCATAACATCTAGTTTTCAGAAACTTGATCACTTTTTGAGAATCTATGATGTTAGAACTTTATGTGTTTAGTTGGAAAATTAATTTATAAATAATACTAAAACTATTTTTTCATTTGTTTACTTTGACCTTGTGATTAGCTATTTGGTTTGCTTTGAGTTTGTTTTGAGTGATCACAGTTTATTAAGAGTACAATATGGATTCTTCATGTTGTCCCGAGCAAATTAAAAAGTCTAGCCAAATACATTAAAGGATGGCAGCTTTCTGGGAGGCAACCCCGATATTTAAACTTTTACTTTTATGCATTTTATTTACCTTTTTTTCTTTTCTTTTAGTCTCGTCTTTACTTGCACTTTATCTGCCTTGTGTGCTTCCATGTCATATCTTATGATTTCGTCTCTCATCTTGCATTTCTTTTATGATTCTACATGTTCCATGCTGTTAATTGTCTCATCTTGTATGTGCATAAGTTCATCATTTTTGTTGGGAAAATATTATAGATTTTGATGATGATGTATTTAGATTGTAATAGGGACTTTTGGCCTCCCCCAATATTCAATTTAATCTTTCTTTTTAGAAATATTGTTAAAACCGAGTTCTTGAGATTTCCAATAAAGTTGTGATATTTCTTTAAGTGGTTTGATGCTTGAAGACTTAATCAAATTTTGTGATATGGAAATTGGATATCTTGATCGGAAATGTCAGAGACAAGTAAGGATTTCTCAAAGCAGATGAAGATCCTCTAATCTGGAACACTACATAATAACCGGATGTCTCGCTACAACCCGCTGAAGGCTAAGTCATTCAAATCGGAAGACTAGCGCGGATCTCTTTCTCACCCGGAAGTCTGTGAATGATTCTTCTGGATTTGTCAGCCAAAGAACCGGATGCCTCAAGAAAAGATAAGAACTCTCAGAAGCGGACAAGTGAGAAAAGACTTAGAAAAATTCTAAGTCTTGAATGAAGAAATTCTACCCGTTGGTATAAGGAAAAATCAATCTCTTGATTTTCAACGGCTAGATTGAAGATAATTAAGCTGATTCAAGAACAAATGACTTGAAGACAAAGTCTGGACCCCTCAAATTAAAGAGCTCGTCCAGAATTCCTAAACAAGCACTAGAAGACAAACTGAGTAATGTGCTACAGTCCAGAATTCTTGAACAACAGCTAGAAGACGGATTCTGTGGAAAAAGGAATCCCTCCTCAAACAATTGGGTATGTCCAAGCACCCACTCCAATGAGGAATCCTCAATCACAATCTTCATTCAAAATTGAAGCCAGCAAATGCAACGGATAGTCTATTTTGATTCAACGGATAGATTATCCAATCCAGCTATAAATAGCAACCTTGGAAGACTGGAGAAGATATAACGAGATAGACGAACACAACAAAGCAATCTCTAATAACAAAGCTATCTCATTCACAGTTAGCCCAAAAAGCTTGATAAAGAGAGATTTCTAAAACTCCTTATCTAGAAGCAAACTTCTCCTCCTTCCAAAGAGCTATAGTGTAAACTCTAACACCCTAATCCGTCCAGGTATGCAGCCCCTTTCAGACTAAAGTATTAACTTGGTAATCGTAAAATTTAAAACTTTTCAAACACTTTTATTCATCACAATAATATTTTTCGTAACATATACAGTGCGGAGTTTTCAATATTGCGGAAGCTTAACAAATCATAATTACAAACATAATTTGTTTATGTTCTTTAATTCAAAACCATCACATCCATTCCGACAATCTCGCCTCCGTCTGCCTCCAGAATCACGTCACATCATTCTTTCTATTAACCTGCGTGTAGCAAATAAAACATACTACACGCTCAGCGGTGAAGCTGAGTAAGCATATCTAATGCGTCGAACATCCATATAAATTGAATCCAAATTCATAATCAAATCATTTGATATCATGCACAAAGTATTCAGTTCAAATATACAATAATCAATTTTCAACATTCGTCATTCAATATTCATATTCAACATTCAACATCCTCATTCAATAATATCCTTAAACTATTCTTAGTCTAAGGCCAATCTATTTGATGTTTACCAACTCTTAAACTAGTTCTAGTTTAAGGTAC